TTTATAAACACACACACACACACACACACACACACATATATATATATATACATATGTGTATATATGATATATATATATATATATATATACGCACACACACACGCACACATATACACACACCACACAATGTATATATATATATATATATATATATATATATACATATATATTATATCTACATACATATCAATAGATGAACACAATTTAACAATATAACAATATAACAATATAATATAACAATTTAACAATATAACAATAGAACAATATAATAGTATGACAATATAACAATATACATATATATATATATAACAATATAACAATATAACAATATAACAATATAACAATATAACAATATAACAATATAACAATATAGCAATATAACAATATAACAATATAACAATATAACAATATATATAACAATATACACACACACACACAGACACACACACACACATATATATATAGATATCAATACTTAAGAATAATAATAAAAATAAGAAATGGAATAAGAATACGAATTATAATAAGAATAGCAAGATAATAATAACAATAACAATAACTAACAATAACAATAATAATAACAATACCAATACCAGTAACAAAAACAAAAACAAAATATATAATGATAAGAGAAGATCGTATGGCATAATGCGACAGGATTCGCATGGAGGGTTTAAGTGGCGACAACACCTCGGCACCTGACGAGTAGTCTCTATTTATCGAACAGTGCCGCGAAGGAAATAAAGAAATACAGTACTGGAGGAACTCGTTAGTGTTGAGCACGTCACCTGTCTCAAGCATTCTTCTTGAGCGGTTGCCATTTATATATGAAACAATCTATGTACTCCCGGAAGTACTGGAATATACATACCATTAGTTACAAATGCGTACAAGTATGTATAAACAAAACAACATATCGCATTGCGATGTGTCTGCTGGAGAAAACACAGGGGTGTGCGGTGATTATTGTGCCTTTTTGTTACTTTTGCTGCCGAGTTCAATCACTGCATAAAATTAGTTCATACTAAAGATTGAATCACTGTACAATTAGTCTACATTGAATTAGTTCAGACTATATTGAATCACTGTATATATTGTCTAAATTGAAGTACTTCATTCAGACTGGCTTGAATCACTGTACCATGTCTAAATTGAATTAGTTCTTCAGACTAGATAAGAGTCACTGTACAATTAGTCTAAATCGAAGTACTTCATTCAGACTAGATTGAATTACTGTACAAATGGTTCAAATTAAATTAGTTCAGACTAGATTAAATCACTGTACAACTATTCTTAAATTGATGTACTTCATTCAGACTTTACTGACCCACTGTTTATTTGTTACCATTCGATTATTATACAACCGGTCCAAATTGAAACACTACAATTAGTCTAAGTGGAATCACTTCTGTACCAAAAAGGTTTATGTCGAATCAGCGTACAGCTGGTATAAATCAAATTGATGTACGGTTAGTTTAGTTGGAACCACTGCACAATTAATATAAAATTAATTCGAACTGAATCACTATGCTACAAATATGAAATTGATATGAACCGAATCACTTTACAATTTATATGAAATTAACATGAACTGGATCACTGTACAATCAATCAGAAATTAATATGAACTGAATCACTGTACAATTAATCTGAAGTTAATATGAACTGAATCATTGTACAACCAGTCAGAACTGAACATGAACTGAATCACTGTACAATCAATATAAAATTAATATGAACTGAATCTCAGTCCAATCAAAGTGGGTGGTCCTGAACAGCACCACTGTACTGTATCCCACCTAACCGAATACGAAGCTTGACTACACTTCAACCGACAACTCTTGTTTTCTCAAGTATCTGTAACCGCCCAATTGAATCCTCTCCGAACTCCAAGACCAAGGGAATACCTAGTAGTACCGTTTAATCCCGTTTTACTGAAAACGTCCATCCAGTACAATATATATCATCTGTGCACTTCCATTGACAGCCTCATTCCTAGTTGTGTACTGTGTCTGATATGTACCCCTTCACATGTGTGCTTGATGTGCATCCCTTCGACTGCCTATACCAATTTCTTGGCCTCGAAAAAGCCTCGAAGGTGGCGCGTTTGCCACAGACCGGCCACTGCAATGGACGGACAGAGGAGAAAACGTAGTATACGGTTCGTTATGAGGAGAGAATATGTAAATTACGCTTTGGAATGACAGGATAGATATCACACGAATCGAGGCTTAACACATCGCACATATAGGTCGATAAGATACCAATGTAGACGCACTGGATACGTCTGTCATGGTACAAAACAATTTGTATGCACACGTGCGAACGGCTCCGATTGTGCCACTGAGATGGCTTGAGCTAATCTGCCTTCAAGCTATTTGGTGATGTCGTGATGTTTAGGGTATGCTTCTGCATGCATATGGTGATATTGTGTATACGTACATGGTAAAAATTATGTGTATACGTACATGTAAATATTGTATGTGTGTATGTATATGTCAATGTCTTGATATGTATTTCCGTGGAGTACACAGTGTCTACCCTGTGAGCTTTGGGCTTCTAAATTTCGTGGACCAAATTCCCATGGCACATGTTTGTAGGGACAACGTCAAAGTAACAACTTACACAGTTAAAAGAATAGATACAATTAAAAGTTAACACGTACCTATCAGGATTGCGAATTGAGCACAGGACCAGTAGATGACGCGGCTGTTGGTAGCTTCACTCGTATGCCTGAAACGAGCCTCACGAACCTGCACACGAGATAGAATGAGTTCATGTATGCGCAAGGTATAAACACACATATATGAACATACAGACAATATATCTCAATATCCAAGCGCGGGCACCAAATCTACCAAGCTGAAGTTCGTTATAATCGCTTAATGGCTAGCTCTCTGTAGCTCTGGTGGATCTGATCCAGCAAGAAACGCGCACGCAGCTAAATGTTATCCCTTTTGTCCTTGCGGTGTATCTCGTATACGTATGGACAGGACACGAACACACCAACACACGAATACACACATACAGACATACAAACATAACAACATATATACACACATACAGACATACAGACATACAAACATAACAACATATATACAGACATACAGACATACAGACATACAAACATAACAACATATATACACACATACAGACATACAAACATAACAACATATATGCACACATACACGCATACAAACATACAGATATACAGACATACAGGCTACAGACATACCAACATACACACATATACACAGTACGTATCATAATCAATACAATATCTTAACGCGTACAAGATACATATCTACCACGCCAAAAGTGCAGCATACCCTCTGGTACGCCTGCTCCTTGGAGATCTGATTGATCTGGTCCAATAATTGACGCACACGCAGTTGAATGTCATCCAATTTGTCTTTGCGGCGAATCTCGTCGTAGTCATTGGCACCCTCACCCATCACCACATCAAAGTAAACTTTCTGCTCATAACGATTTTAAAATTGCACGAAATAGGAAAGCAAAAAATGTTATTAGTTACCTCATCGCAATGTATAATAAACCTAGGCCAGTATTCGATCGTTGCGATGTATAAATATACAAACAGACACACAGACACACAGACACACAGACAAACAGACATAGACACAGACACAGACACGGACACAGACACAGACATATATATATAATATGTTCTTGAATCAATTTGCAAATAGTGTGCACACGATACATACATACTGACATACAATTCAGATATCCACTGTCAACGGCCACAGCCTGACCGATTCAACCAAATTCTGAAAGCGGCACATATAGAGCAGCAAAACACTATATATGAATTCATACATTCAGCGATGCTGAAGTACCGTGAAATATTGACGGACGTATTCTTTGTACTTGCTTTGCCTTTGTACTATATCCACATCCGGAAGGTCCGTAGGCACATAACATCTAGACATCTACGTGTTTTAATGGGAACGTTTCATACGCATATAGCAACTACATAGTACTTGCTTTGTCTTTGTACTATATCCACTTCTGGAAGGTCCGTAGGCACATAACATCTAGACATCTACGTGCTTTAAAGGGAACGTTTCATACGCACATAGCAACTACATGCCCACTTGGGTTTAATATGAACGGTCCACACGCACGCATAATTACAACTAATTAATTAATTAATTAATTAATATATATATATATATAAATTTAAATACAATGTAAATATAAATATAATGCAAATATGAATATAAATATATCCACTTACAATAGCCGCGCCCCGGCCGATCCATCCGGCATCGGCTGAGAGACACACATAGTGCTCTCCAGGAACAACCGTGGTGAATGCGAACTTCTCAGGCGAGTTTTGTACCACTTTGTCCATGATCTTCTCACCATCTGGATTCTGTGTTGAGGATGATAGATGCTGGATATGTTCAGCGAGATGCTTATCGGAAAAAAGAAGCCTCAGGGTGTATGGTCACATGAATATAGTACACTGAAAAAAAAACTGACAGGCACACTCTATGATGCTCTCATAGGAAAGACGCACCGCAAAATTAAAATGCTCAGGAACCGACACGAATAGGCGAAAACCATCAAAGCAACGCAACACAAGTCGTGGGCATGATGGGCTTGGGTTAAGGGTTTAGGGTTTAGGGTTTAGGGTTAAGGATCTAAGACAGTATACGCTATAGCCGACATGACATGTAGTCTGAAACAAAGAAGCTTATTGGATTGTAGTCACAGTTCAACTGCTTTCGACGAAGGCAGGATATGCAACATGCCGCACTCGCCCACGAGTTGAGTGGGAGGTTGCAAGTACTCAAATACGTATGTTCATCCGAAAATGTATTGAATCGCACGGATATATATGCATGCAATCCTGTCTGTTAGTTGTAAACACCTACCAAGTCGCATGGTACGTGCACATGACCGAATCTTGGAACAAGTACATGGATACTCTGACACGATCGAGGTAGTCAAAAGCTACTATATAGAGATATGGCTACAGTAATATACAACGATGTGCACCCATACCTGAATTCGGACTGTGATGCCCATTTTCGGGTTGATACTGTATGTCTTTTTGGCCGTGTCAAAGGTCTCAATTTTATATTTACCTACTCGTCAACCAAGACGACAAAGAAGGTTTCATACGATTAGTAAATCTTAAATCGAAACCGCCAGACAGCCTTTATAATACGTACAATATGCCTCTGATAAAATGCTCATGTCATCAAAGTGTGCCACCAAGTGTGCCACCCATGTTAAATTCAATAAAATAAAGTGTGACTGTATATATATACATATACAGACACAGACACAGACACACACACACACACACACACATATATATATATCCAGACATACATATACATACACATACACACACACGAACACAAACACACACATATATATATGTATATAAATAATATATACATACACACATACATACACATACATAGATACATATATATATATTATATATATACATACGTATATACATACATACATACATACATACATACATAATAAAACATACAAACACACGCACACACACACACACACACACACACACGCATATATTTATATATATATATATCTATATTTACAAGTACATGCGTGTATATGTATTCTAGTCAAAACACACACATATACATACGTACGAAAATGTTCATACTTCAAAACATATTCTTGAATAAGCATACGAAAAATATACACACAAACTCAAATATACATATGTATACATA